GGTATTCTAGTTTTTGTGGATAAAGGTGTTCATAATAGTCTCTGAGGGTGTCTTTTTATTTCTGTGAGGTCAGTGGTACTGTCCCCTTTGTCATTCCTGATTCTGTTTATTGGGATGTTCTTTCTTTATTTCTTTGTCTAGTTAGCTATCAATCATTTTTATTGTTTTAAAAAAACTAACTTCTGGTTTCGTTGATCTTTTATATGCTTTTTTATGTCTCAATTTTATGCAGTTCATTTTTCATGTCTCAGTTTCATTCAGTTCAGTCCTGATTTTGGTTATTTCTTGTCTTCTTCTACTTTTCCAGTTGGTTTGCTATTGTTTCTCCAGTTCGTCTAGGTGTGATGTTACATTTAAGGTATTTCTAATTTTTTATGTGAGCATTTAAGTACTATATAAACTTTCCTCTTAACACAGCTTTAGCTGTATCCCATAGATTCTGGTATTTTGTATATTTGTTCTCATTATTTTCAAATAATTTCCTAATTTCTGATTTAATTTCATTTTTTACCAAGAAGTCATTCAGGAGTAGGTTGCCTAATTTTCATGTAATTGTATGGTTTTGAGTGATCTTCTTAGTATTGATTTCTATTTTTAATTGCATTATGGTCCAAGAGTGTGGTTGATATGATTTCAGTTGTTTTTTTAACTTGCTGAAAATTGTTTTATGGCCAATTGTATGGTGGATTTTAGAGTATATACCATGTGCCAATATGAAGCATGTACATTCTGTTGGTTTTGGATGGAAAGTTCTGTAGATGTCTATTAGGTCCATTTGGGTCAAGTGTCAAGTTTAGGTACCAAACATCTTTGTTAGTTTTCTGCCTCAGAGAAGTCTCCCACTATTACTATGTGGTTTTCTAGGTCCCTTCATAGATCTCTAAGAACTCATTTTATGAATCTGGGTGCTCTAGTGTTAGATGCAAATATATTTAGGATAGTTAACTCCTGTTGAATTGAACCTTTTATCACTGTGTAATGCCCTTCTTTGTCCTTTTTGATCATTGTTGGTTTAAAGTCTGTTTTGTCTGAAATAAGAATAACAACCCCTGGCCAGGCACAGTGCCTCACGCCTGTAATCCCAGCACTTTGGGAGGCCGAGGTGGGCAGATCATGAAGTCAAGAGATCAAGACCATCCTGGCCAACATGGTGAAACCCCATGTCTACTAAAAATACAAAAATTAGCTAGGCATGGTGGCTTATACCTGTAGTCCCAGCTACTGGGGAGGCTGAGGCAGGAAAATTGCTTGAACCTGGGAGGCAGAGATTGCAGTGCGCCAAGATCATGAGAGGAGAAAGACAAGAAACACATGATCAAATGAACAAATAAAATAATCTTATAGGGTTAAGAGAGCTATGAATAAAATAAAACAGGATCAGTGGGATACAGAGTGGTAGAATATGCCAGGCAGGTTGAGCACAAGGGGAGTGCTGATTTAGAGAAGCTGAAAGGGAAATCTTCTGTGGTGTAACATGTGAACTGAGACCTGAAAGAGAAGAGACTACAATAAACATAAATACCTAGGGTATGAGAGTTATATACAAAGGGAACAGGGCCTACTATGAAACAAGCCTGGTGTAATCAAGAGAGAGAGAAGAAAGGTCACTGTGAGTGGAGCACAGTGGATGTGAGGGAGCCTGGGATGACATGAGTTCAGAAAAACAGACAGGAACCAAATTACGTGGGGCCTGGTGGGCCATGGAGAGGAATCTGGATTCTATTCTGATTTCAGGGAGTAGCCATTGGATATCTTTGGCAAGGACCTGGTTTACATTTTTTTTTTAATTATGCTGGCTGTCATATGGAGAATGGACTATAAAAAAATAATGGAAGGTAAGAGCCCAGTCAGGCAGCTACTGAATTAGACACAACAAGTGATAACAGTGATAACAAAGATGGTGAGAAGTTAACAGGTTTGAGACATATTGAAAATATAGCTGAAGGAACTTTCTCATGGATGGTACATGGGTAGCACCAGGAAAGAATGGAATCAAGGATACCTCCTAGGATTTTGGCCTGACAGAAGTGTGTTCCTGCAGCTGGGGAAACCTAGAGAAGAGGACTGGACTGCAGCAGTTGTGAGACATACACTGTGGACAAACCCTAAGTTAGCATCCCCTCTTCATCACTTACTAGCCTGGGCCAAGTTGCTTATCTCTGTATCAGTTTCCTTTTTGGTAAAATTAGAATCATCGTAGCACTTATTACTTAGGTGTGCCTATGGATTAAATTATTAAACACATGTAAAGTACTTAAAACAGTACCTGGTTTAGTTATTAAGTGGGTGGGGAGGGGGCAGCAAGAGTTCTCTTCTACACTTGCTAGGTCTATGATACCTGTTAGATGTCCAAGTAGAGATATGCAGGAGATGTGCATTCAAATCTAGAGTTCAGAGAGATGTCAGGAGGAAAGATATAAATCAGGAACTCATTAGCATACTGATAGTATTTAAAGTCCTGGCACTAGATGAAATCATCTAGGAAAAGAGAGTAGAGAAGAGAGTAAAAAAGATCATCCCTACGATATGTCACCATGGTCATGGCCACATATACTCAGATGTCACAGAAATGACTTGAGAGTCTGAACGAATTATTTATTTCACTCTTTATTTTTAGGGAACATCCTATTTCTAAATTAATGCACGAAAGTCTCATTTGAAGTTCTGGATCACAAACTGCCCTCTATTTTACATTTCACTCATGTGTTCTCCTATCAGATTATAGGTCCCTCATGGTGATGTTATATGCCATATTTTTTTAATGTCTTTCACTGTTCCTAGCACAGAGTAATACACAGAGGCTCCTTCAATAAATGTCTGCTGGGATAACTATTCAAAGAAATTGTGATAAATAATCTGCCTTTTCCATGGTACCATATGAAGGACTACCTACTGAAGACAAGAATTATTTTGCTCTGAAAAAAGAAGATAAACTGAACTCATTTTATTAGGGAAAAAATGTGAACCCTGTGGAAAACCAAAGATGAATCTAGGCTCATAAATAAACTTATCTTCTTAAAACCTTTCTCTACTGCCAAGGAAAGGATGTAAAGTGAAAAGATAATGAGGCTTTAGACTTAGGCAAACTTGCACTCAAATCTCACATGTGTGTAAGTTGTGAAGCCTGAACAAGCTACTTCTCATGTGAACTCATCTCATCTTTAAAATAGGGATGATAATAATACCTACCTCATGGAGTTTGAAAAGGTCTACATGAATTTTGTGATGTGAAGAGGGTCAGGTGATGCATGCACATACAATGTGTTGCATTATAGGAGAAGAACCCTACAGTTCAAGAACTCATGTCTTTTATGGCATAAATTGTATACTCACATTTTAGTTTCCTATCTCTCCTAAAAAAATATACTACATTTTATGGAAGGTTTTTGCACTTATGAATTCATTATGCTCAGAACACAGCTCACAATTACATGCATATAAAACTCAGTTTATTTTTTAAATGATGCATACAATGCAAGTGGCATATTGTGTGTGTGTGTATGAGGGAGAGTGAGAAATGGAGAGATCTGTTGATACAAAAGTACACTGCAGTATAAAAAATGTACTTAGTTTTACATAAATAAATTTACTTCTTACTTAATGAAAATATATGTGTGACAAGATCCTTCAGATGTAACAGGAGGGATTTCATACACTGTAGTAATTTGCTGCTTTTAAACAGACTTATCAGCATCCAGAGGCAAAGGCTGTTATGGTCTCATTATTTCCTGCCCCCCAGAGGATGAACTGTGCTAATTAAATACATTTAAAGGGAAAAAAATGCCTCTTTGCTGTGTCCCCATTATGCTACTGTCTCTTTACTAACTGATGCTTGTTACAATTTATTAGCTGTGAGTTATACCTCACAGTAAATTAACCCTTCTTTCTCCACTCAATTTGTCAGGTAAAAAAGTTGCATAAACTTACGAGCTAGCCAGTTGGCTTCCTGAGAATATAGATATGAAACAATTTCCTGCAGCATTGAGCCTCAGAAGAATTTAACAGCTTTTGTGAATCTAGTACCAATGCTCATTTTCAAGCCAGGAGCAAACATATAAATCATGTTCAGCACAATGTACCTGCCTTTAGAAAAGCTGTTTACAGCCATGTATATTTATTAGTTTTCTGTGGTTTCAAGCAATATGTTTTCTTTACCCTCTCCTTTTCCTTGCAAGCACAAAGACAAATTTCTATCACCAAGTCTCTCTGGTACATCATAAAACACAGCCTTTGGGGATGATTATTTTTCCTGATTATTTTTACATCCTCATGCCACTGCTTCAGATAGTACCTTAAATAAACTGGATCTCTTGCTGTTGTTCATGGATACTAACAAGTTTCCTTTGCCACTTGTCAAGAGCAATGAAAAGTCTTGAGACTTCACTTGCAAACTAACAAGTCAACCTGACACAGTTTCATACTTGCTGGCAGAAGGCACAACACTCTTAGGTCAAAGAGAAAAGGACTTTAATACTCACAGCATTAGCATTAACCAGAGTAGCAGCATTTAAACTGGTTCTCCAAATTCTAATTCCTACATGGTGATGTGAGAGTGCCAGATGATACCTGCACATACAATGGGTTGCATTACAGGAGAGGAACTCTAAGCTTAGGGAAACCTAATATTTTATAATGGACAGTAAGCCTGAGTGACCTTTGCCACAGAAGTAAATATTGTCTTTTCATACTGCAAAATAAACAAAATTGTTTTTTATTACAATGAAAGACACTATATTTTCCAAGGCTGTTTACAGATGTCCTCGAAACAACTGTACAGAGCAAAGGCACTAAGTGTCTCTGCCCACAAGACATGCATAAATGTAAGAATACTGTATTAGTCTGTTCTTGCATTGCTATGAAGAACTACCTGAGACTGGGTAGTTTATAAAGAAAAGAGATTTCATTGACTCACAGTTCCACAGGCTGTATAGGAAGTATGGCTAGGGAGGCCTCAGGAAGCTTCAAATTATGGCAGAAGGTGAAGGGGAAGTAGGCATGTCTTACATGGCCAGAAAAGGAGGGAGAGAGAGGTGAGGGGAGGTGCTACATACTTTTAAACAACTAGATCTTGTGAGAACTCACCCACAATCACCAGAACAGCAAGCAGGAAATCCACCCCGCATGATTCAGTAGCCTCCCACCAGGACCCTCCTTCAACACTGGGGATTATAATTCAACATGAGATTTGGGCAGGGACACAAATCCAAACCATATCCAGTACCATGAATTATTTTAAAATACCACTGATGCTTTTTCCTCACAAAAGTGGATTACAATTTAATAGTGTTTTCAATACATGAGTTTTTACAGTTAATATGGACTTAATAACTTGAATACATAATAGCAAAATTGCAGTTTTCTTGCAAAGAATTCCCTAAAATCCTTTAAGTAAACGGAAATTCAATCTTTAGTAAATTTATTTGATCTATGTGTACCTCAGTTTCCTCACCTGTATAATGAAAAATAAATATAATACTTAATTCAATGGATTGTTGAGTAGATTAAATGAGATAGTCCATGTAGAATGCTTAGCACAGAGCCTGGTATTCAATAAGTGTTCATTTCTCCATAAATGTTAGTTTTAATTAGAATTAACTATAAGTACTGTTTGATGAGAGGTACTTAAAATACCCCCTTCACTAAAGCACCACCATTAAGCCCTCTTCCAAATGTACCTTGGGAGTGCTGGTTTGCCTTTTGTTGCTATAGAGCCATTCATCAGGAAAGTGTAGAGATACAAGGAGGTAACATTTTTGAAGATTTATTATGTGTTTTTAGTTGATTATCTGACCTAGTGCTTCCAGGTATTATTTCATTCATTCATAATAGCATTCTCATAAAGAAGGCATTATTTTATAGATGAGCAAACTGAGATTCAGACATTACTGAAGGTCACACCCTTTGTAATGGAAAAGCAGGAGTCAAACCCAGTCTCACTCTAGTCTGACTCTGTGCCTTTACAGTTTTTAACCATTCAGTCTTATTTGCCTAAACAATCTTTCTATCTTTTGGGACTTGCTATGCCTTTGTGACAGAAAATCCTCTCTACTCTCTAGACTCCATTGCCAATGAGAACAATAGGTTCACAGCAGGAAGAGAGATTATGCATCCACCTATATTCTTCTAAAAATGATATCCATCTCTTCATATTTGGCCTTTTTTGAAGAAATGACAATTTGTAGGTCAGAGAACACAAAGTAGTAGATATGTAGCATGAACAAGTCTAAAGATCTGATGTACCACATGAGAAATATAGCTGATAAAATTGTACCATATTTGGGATTCCTGCTAAATGAGGTTCTAACTACTCTTACCATAAAAACAAAAAATTCATGGGTAACTATGTGAGATGATTGATATGTTAATTTGCTTCACTTATAGTAATCATTTTACTATCCATATGTATCCCATAACATCATTTTTTAACCTTAATTATACCCGATAAAATTTATTTTTTAAATAATAGTATCTATGATGTATTAGGCTTAAGAAACTTATGGCCCAAAAGCCACTTTTTGTACTAAAGCCTATTGCTGGATTCATAGGCTTAGTCAACATGTTTTTCTCACTCTTTTTGAAAATATCTGATTCCCAGCTCAGTGCTTCTGAAATCTGTCTCAGGAACTTTAATGACAATGTGACATCTTTGAGAAATGCAAGCATGACCTCTGTTCCATCGTATGTTGGTTTTACAAAGGGCATTACATTAAACAGAAAATACTAAGTGATAATAAGCCTGCAATAATAACAAAATCCTCATTCAGGAAAATGAAAGGACTTGTATTTTACTTTTAGAGACAGACTCTTTCTATTATACTAACACAAATAAAGGTAAAAGACACGCCTTTTTAAGTTAGTTCCATAGGAATTATATTTCTTACCAACTCTGCCCAAAAGCCAATTAATTAAACATTATTTAAAAACAACTGGAATGAAAACCCATATCGGGAAATAATCTTAACATTAAATCAAGTATGTGGAATTAAGATTTTGTATCTCCCGAAATCTTTATTGACAGTAGCAGACCATATCAAAAGTCTTCTAAAATAATGCTTTTAGCTCTCTAAAAAAATGTTCCACATCAAGAAACTTTTAAAATAAAGTAAAATAAATGCCTAGTAGAAGAATTCATACAATAGTCCCAGAACTGCCTGAAGACATTTAGAATTCATATACAATCTTTACACAGATACTAGAGAAAAAAAGTACTAATAGAAATTGTTCCGGTTTGTAATTGCAAGTATAATCACGAAGTTCCTGAAAATAATAGATGTTATAATATTGCACAAGCCAATCAATGAACATAATATGCAGAATGATAAGTGGTGAAAAAAATGTTGCAATCTTTTGTTGATAACATTGTTGAATTCAAACTCCAACCCTTGCTCAAGTTAAACATTCTTGTGCATCTCTTTGGGTTAGGTGGGGGTTTGTTATTGTTGTTTGTTTGTTTGTTTTTTGTTTGCTTTGCCCTCTTTAAATTTTTTAGGAAAAAAACACAACAGATAAATCACATGGTCTCATGAGAAAACCAGAATACAAAGCCATGAAATGAAGATTTTCACTCTGTCAACCTGTTTAGCTTTCCCTGGGAGCTCAATCACGGCATTGGCTTTTATGTGTTCCACTGAGCATTTACAGAGAACATCAGCAATTATGGACTGCTGCCTAGCTACATGGCCATGTTGTTACTTTACATTCATCTGGAATCCTCTATTCTCTCAATAGACATTTTTATTCTGCTCCATATGACTACCATTGTAAGAAAGCTTTGTTATTTTACTTGAATGTGGCAGTGAGTAGGCTCTTTATATTTTCAGGAACATACTCCTCCCCTGTGGCTGTATCTGAAAATTAGGTGACTCTCATAGCTTTTTCAAACCCATACCTCTTCTGTCCCTGTCATGCAATGTAATTACTTATATTTCAATTTTAGCATCTTGCAAACAAGTCTCATTCCTGGACCTTGTTTAAACTTTGGGCTGTTTTTAATTCATGAATCATTTTGGAAACTTTTATTTGCATTGAGTTATAAAAGGTAAACTAAAACTCAAGCAATGTAGTAAAATCTTTTCAAAGTTTGTCTTTCATTTATTGATACGATACAGATCCTTTCATGTGCATCTCCCTAGAAATCTTCAATTTGATCCATTTTTTTCAGTACCCCTAACATCTTAAAACTTAGTCATTCAGACACCACCCACCCGCCCTCTGACACCTTCTTCCTGATTGAAAGAGGCATTTATGCATATGAGTCACCTCCTGCCAGCTTCACAGGAATTACATAAAAGCAATCTGCCAACCATCTTGGCCTAAGGACAAAAAATCACATTTAGTGTCAAAGTAAAAGTCATTCTTGCTTATTGGAAAATCACAATAGAGCACTTTAGGACTTTAACTGACAGGACATCAGGCCTTAATCTACACTCTATACTACAAATGAGGGAACTCATAAATGCTACGCTTTTACTTTCATCAGTTTGGATAAGCTTCTTGGCCTAATAATCCTAAATCCATTTTAAATGCTTTTTTGTAGTAGAAAATGAAAGGCTAATTCATATTCAGGAAAGATTATACATATATTAAGGGAGAGAATGTGGACTAAGAAATAAACATAATATTAGCAAAACACGTTATCTTTCCATGCTAATACAAAAATATTCATGCAGAAAGTTATTTAAAAAGCAGTGCTTATGGCAGGAAAGGTGATTTTATGGTCTAAGAAAAATGAATGGAAAGACTTGCCTAGATAAATTGTTATACCTAGAAATATTGGTCAGGATATTTTTAGTTTTTTTGTTTCTAGACAAGACAGCTTAGACCATATGGAAATATGGGCTTAAATCTCCCATTTAACCTTTTATTTATTGTGTGCGTTTAAGCAAATCTTTAAACATACTTGAGCTTCAGTTTCCTTAAATGTAAAGTGGTGAAATCACCCATGCCGTCTCTCTCGAGTTGTTTTAAAGATCAAATACGATGGTATGTAAAAGCACAATGTAGCTTTATGTTTGTCTAATTGCTGATAATTCTGAAAAAGCTTTTACATATCATCTCATTTTACATACCATCTCATGGCTACTGTTTTTGCAAGATCCCTAGGAAGGTAGGGAAACCCTTAACTCTTTCTAGCTGATAAAGAGAATCCTGGAAGATCCCCTGTATTCGGTATCCCTTCCCTTCCCCACAGCCCTTCCACCTACACATACATAGATTCATGGAACCTCAAAGAAAATCCCATTGTGTTTCTCAGACCCACATTTCTCTCAGCTGTGAATATCTCTGATCAGTTACAGAATATCCTAGGAACTGGGGCCTGGCACAAATCACCACTGTCTATTAGAACTGGAATTTTGGCTGCCAACCTAGAGCATCTCCAGTGTCCACACTTGACATGTATGGTTGGGCAGGGGGAGGGAGGAAGAGAATGTGTGTCTCTAAAATGCATAGCTCACTGTCCTTCTGAAAAGGATAACTTTTTAAAGAATCTCTTCTCATTTGCATACAAGGTTTCACCTCTCTGTTACAAAGAACAGCACGTAGAAGATAATTAAAGTACACACTTAAGGCCAATACAAACTAATGACAATTCCCCTGAGTAGAGACACTTCCAAACCCAGAAGTCTAGATTTTAATGCACGGAATTTGACCTTACCAGTTCTTGACTGGGATAGGTTTCTCCATGTTGAAGCTGTGGAATGTCATCAGATTCAATTGGAGACTATCTCTCATAACTCACCATATGAGAGATGTCAGAGGAGAATTTTAAGGTTGTATCATTTTTTCTTTCTTTGGTTTCAATTTCCACCTTTATTCAGATGAAGTTGCAAATAAGTGAAACAGTTGGCAATACAACCTTAACCGCTAACTTGAGTTTTCTGTGAAATGCCAGTCAAGTAAAAGGAATGACAGACATCTACGTAAGCCCCAGTAGTATTCATGTATTGTGAATTAAAATAATAACCATGAGAGAACTTTAAATCATATTTCAAAAGATACCTTCTTAAAATAATCACTATTCAGAATTTGATGAACGTAAAATTTTAGGGTTATCTTCAGTCATTCATGTTCAAATAATTTTCTGTGACTAAACTTTGGTCAAAATAGAAAATGTGTTATTTCCTAGGCTGGTAAAGGTATTTATTGTGGATGGAAAGAATCACGGAATACAAATAATATGAAACTCAAAATTATATAAACCAAATGCACTCTGTTTTCTCAGTTGACTCAAAATAATGCGTAGCCAAGGTAAGATCAGCTGCACATTATACCTTCTCACAATCCCAGGCATCCTGAAGAAGCAACACCTCACTCCCAGTCTAGTCAGTGCCTTTATAATTTTTCTTGGAATGACATTAGCTTTTACACAACCTATAGTAGCGAGCTTGTAAAACAAAGAAACCTCAATTTAGTTTTTGTTGATTTGGGGTGACTCCAAAATGTTTGTGTTCAAATTGCCAATAAGACTCGTTTTCATGAAGGGCCTTTCTAAAATACACTTTCTAAGCCATTTGCATATTTTCAAAGAGAAAAATTAAGAACAAGGTGGATAGTAACTTTCTTGACACTCAGTTGTGCCTTGGTTGAGAACTATGGCTATTAACTCACAGCTTCCAGGTCTAGATCTTTGCTGGCTCTCTGATAGTTAATTGTCTCCATTATGATATTATCATTAGATTCCCCTTAAGACAAACAAAAGAAAGCTATAGGTTTCTAGGTCTATTCAGTTAAAGCAATTGATTTTCATAGTTTCAAGGAATGACCAATTCAACTCCTATTTCGAATTTGTGATATTGGAAACATTTGTGAAAAAGGAGCATGTTCTAAAGTCTTTGAAAGTTTCTTAACCAGTTTTTCTCTAAGTCATTGTTCTATATAGTAAACACAGAAATGGACAAAATGAACTCCTAAATGTATAATTTTGGAATTTCAATTTAAGATATAATTTATTTGGAAACAAAATATGTTGATTTTTAAATCCTCTCTTCCTTAGTAATAGAACATCTATTATGTTCTTCAGTGGTATGCAGATAGTAATGTAAAACTTAAAGGGTCCACATAAATTACCTAGACAATTTTATATTTACTACACTTTTTTGAAGTTACCTTTGTAAAGAAAAAATACTTTTCCCATTAAAGAATACATGTTATCCTGGACTTCTTCTGGTGTCACTAAAAGGTCATTGATTTACATCTGAACTGGGTCACTGAAAGTCAATGACTATCTGGTGGTCTAAATAGAGTAAAATAATGGCATCTTTACCAGTTTGAGAGTCATCTGACCAATTATAACCCAAAATTTAAATCAAACCTACAACCTATTATTAGAAGAAATATTGAGATTGGTCTGAGGTTACAACATAAACAAATGTGATCTTAGATATTCTGTTTAAATATTTCAAAGACTAAAACATTGAAGTTTATGTTTTACGCTTCACCTGTGTATATAAGAATGCCCTGCACCAATTATACATAAGATTTGGAGTGTATTCCCAATGTCTTCCCAAATGAAAGACCTATGAAAAACTATTTTATAAAAGGTGATATATTTAGAATGAGAAGGGCTTTATGTAAGGAGGAACACATTATTCATCCTGAGAAGATGAAAAGTAAGACATAAACTTTGAGTACAAGGTGAAAGCAGAGGTGATAACTATAAAAGAATATCTCGTCAAAGAAGAAGCCCATGTCAAGCTTACTCCATCATGGAGATAAATGTCAGCCCTGTTTTTGCACAAAGAGCACACCTAAGAGGAAAAGGCACAAAGGTTTAGAGTGCCAATAGAAAAAGACCACCTGCCACTTACCACAAATGAATAAAACAAATATATATCCCTAGCCCACAGGGCAACCATGGCAAAGGACCCTCTGATCCTCATGACATTGTCTTAAAGCATTCCTTACATCCCCAGTAAGAATAAGAAACCATTAAAACCAGCTATATCTACACCTATATAACTAGCACAAGCCTGCTGACAGGGCTTGGAGGGCATCGAGCAGTTCCACATTTGATCCTTCTTTTTTCACAAAGAGGTGAATATCAAATATTTTAAACAGCAAGTTAAAGTATGAAAGCAAATATAATGTAAAATTTGGTTCTGCTTTGGGAAATCCATTTTTGAGGCATTTATAAATGGTTGAAAGGCTCATTCTAAACTGGAATGGATTGCCCCATCCTATCAATGCCCTGGAATGAATATAAGGACAGCAGTGGTGGCTTTTAATTCTATGTTAATTGGCTTGGGGTTCTTTGACCTTTAATTAAACAAAATATGAATAAATTAACTTTCTTCCTATGTACAACAGAGGCTTGAAATGGTACAAGTTGGGATAACAGTCTCAACAAGATACTATTTTTTTCACTAGCAAATAAATATAAAATATGATGTTGAAATCTGCATACACCATTTTTGACTGATATTGATCTCATTACTTATTTGTAACCTGTAATATTTCATCTGTCTTTACTCAAAAGGAAGAAAAAACATCAGGGAAAAAAAGGAGCTATTTCTCACTGGGTAAACAGGTCAGACATAAGCAATTTACAAATGTCTTGTAAGCTGGTCTCAGTATTAAAAGAGGCTTCTTTAGCAGAATCTCAGACAAAAATTCTAGCCTTTACAACATAGAAGAGTTTTATGAAAAGGTCTGATTGGATCAGATATAAAGAGAAAAATGTATATGGATAGTTACAATTATATTTTACAAATTAAACAAATGCATTTTGTTTTGCTCTTTTGGTTTTATGACTTAACTACACTTAAAAATATGCTGTTAGACGAGATTGCACCACTGCACTCCAGCCTGGGTGACAGAGAGAGATTCTATCTCAAAAAAAAAAACAAAATGCTGTTAGAACATGGACACAAAGAATGGCACAGTAGATATAGATACCAGGGCTTACTTGAGGGTGAAGAGTGGGAGTAGCGTGTGGACTGAAAAGCTACCTATTGGATACTATGCTCATTCCCTGGGTGATGAAATAATTTGTACACCAAACCCCCACAACACACAGTTTACCCATGTAACAAGTCTATGCCCTGGACCTAAAATAAAAGTTGGAAAAGAAAAAAATTTAGGGATCATTAGCAGACCATTGCAAAATCTTCTAGGATTTTGCAGATAAAGGGTAAGATCCCTCAAAAATCTTTTTCATGTAGGAACCATGTCAGTCTATACAGCACAGTCCCAGAAGTTTGAGGGATGGGCAGAAATATGTTCATCCTCCTATTTAGTGAGAGAAGCTTCCCTGCAACAGTTTGAGAAATTCAGCATGGCAGCCTTGAAGGTATCTTCCAGCTCCAAATCCTTCTTTGTGATAATCATGATTAATGTGATGCATCCTTACTCTGACCCCAAGCAGAGGATTCTCTACTAAGGTTCTGGTTGCCAAACCTCTCCTGCTTTCACTTACTGAGGGAATGGAAGACTATTTCTATGAAGGGACTCCTGGGATCTCTGCCCTTTCCTGTTACTGTAGTAACATGTTTGTGCCTTACTATCACCACCATCACCACCACATCTACTGAAGTAGAGTCTATACAGACCTAATATTAGTGCCCAAAGTATTGTTGTGTACTTTTTATATTTGTATTATAATTGACTTCATTTTATATATCTACTATATTTTTCTTTTTCTTAATCACTTATATGCAATGTCTATCATATTTCATGTTATACATACTCATGATGACTTTAAATCCTTTTATTGAATTGGAATATAGCATTAAAATTTTATTGTAATGATTATGTTTCAGCTATGAGGCTTTAAACAGCTTATGCAGTCCAAAACTTATAACTCTGTGAGGTAGGTACTTTCATTTTTTTTTTTTTTAGAAAAAGGAAACTAAGACTCAGGAAAGGCACTTGCCAAGAGGAAAAGTTACTCAGCATCCTTGGAGCTGAGATTCAAGCCCAGGAAACTTCCCTCCAAAAACCATGCTACTAATTATCTTTCTGAAGAACCTTCCATTAGAATATTGTCAGAAAACCACAATAAGTTATTTTGGTAGCTTGATTAGACATGAAATCTTTGTCAGATAGCAGGCCATTTCTCCTTCTGATTCCTCAAGTCAGCTGGTCTTTTCTCTCTTTCCTTCTTTAGAGTCATTATCTTTTTGCATTTTCTCCTGTCCCCCCATTGAACCTCCAAACTTCCAATCCATCTTCTCTGGAAATATCTTTCCAGCAATTTTAGTTCCTTTTTTGGCCCCAGAAATGTACCTCAGCTTCAAGACTAAACTACTCTAAATTTCAGGTCAAAAGCATTAATTAATTTGTTTATTCATTCAATAAATATTTATGAGCTCCTACTACATAGCACTGGGCAATCTGTAGTGAATGGAACAGACATGCACCCTGCCTTCATGTTTCTATGTTCAATGGAAATAGATAACAATAAACAAGGAAGCATATAGTGTAACATATCAGATACTGGCAGGTGTTGTAGAGAAAATAATGTGGGGCAAAGGAAGTAGAGAAGTCTGAGCATCAGAAAATAGAGGAGTGCTATTAAGTTTATAAGGATGTGCAGAAAAAGCCTCTCTGATAAGGTAATATTTGAGCAGAGACATAAAAGAAATGTGAATTTAAAAGTGATGCTCTGAAGAAGAGACTTAGGGGCAGAGAAAAAGAACAGCATGAGCAAAGGCCCAGAAACAGGAATAATCTTGTTTCCCTAACAACAAGAAGGCCTGTGCGCTGGAACTGAGTGAGAATGAATTGAGTCCTAAAATTGCTTGACTCATCTATAATTCATTCAAGAATGGCATTTGACTTTTAAAATATGAACCATTTTCCAGAAATTTTATTTTAGATTCTATTAATTTTTTTATACATGTGTTCAGTGCTTCACAGAGTAAAAAGCCTTTTCCCAGATATTATCTCATTTTCTCCTCAAAACATGCTGTCACTGAGTGATGGTTGTAATTTGATTTGATTATCCCAGTAACTAACACAAGACATGATGCATAGTAAGCACTCAGTAAATGCATATGGGATTAATTAGCTGATTTATTAGTTCTAGGGCAGAACTTTTAATTTTTCCGCTTTGCCATGTTCATTATTATTGAACATCAGTGATGGGATTATAATTCAGTGAAGCTTCAGAGGCTATAAAGATTTATCTAGCCATTTGCCTGCACCCTAATTTATACATATATATCTAATTTTTGTAGTAATTTACACTTTTTCTGCCTAACTCTTCCAATAAGTTCTTTAACATCTTTCTTTGCAATCAGTTTCTGCACATCCCTAATTTATCATATCTAATCTGCTATATTCCTGGAAACCAGATCACAGGCCTATTAGACTTATGAGTAAAATAAAGTGACTTTAAGTGAGAGCATGAAACCCTTTCTTAAAGAATAAATTTGCATTAGTTCATTTGTACTGCTACAACAAAACGCCACAGACTAGGTAATTTATACATAACAGAAATTTAGTTCTCGGGGCTGGAAAGTCTAAGATCAAGGCACCAGCAGTTTCAGTGTCTGGTAAGGGTTAAGTCTCTCTGCTTCCAAGATGGCAGTTTGTTGCTGTGTTCTCCATAGGGGACAACACTGTGTTTTCACATGGCAGAAGGGATAGAAAGAAGCAACCCCGCTTCCTCAAGCCCTTTTATACGGTCATTAATCCCAATCATGAGACCTCCACCCTCATGACTGAATCACCTCCTGAAGGCCTTACTTCTTAATTCTACCACACTGACAATTAAGTTTCAACATATGAATTGTGGGGAACACATTCAGACCATAGCAAAATTTAATAGCTTTACTACTTACTTCCTAATAGCTGTCTGATCTCATAGGCATTTTTCTTATTTCTGCACCTGTAATTTAATTCTAGTGGATTAAAGTTGTTAGCCACAGTATACAATTGTGCCTTTCCCCCAAATTGCATCCAAAAAAATATAAAGCAGTTCATCCCATCAAACATAGAATCTATGATATGATCTAAAGCCATATTAAGAGGTTATCCATCACACCAAAGCTGATCTCATTTATCTGAAGTATCCACAGCTTACAGGTTTATCTGAGCCCTTCTTTTTCCTCACTGAAGCAAAGGTTCCCATCCAATATTGATGATCTACCCACTTGGTGCAACATGATTGTAAATGTGCCTCCTGTAATGGGGTACCCTTAATATGTCCTTTCCATAGAAGTCATTATCTCTATTTAACCTTTAGTTAAACTATAAAAATTTTCAGTCAAATATTATTCTTTCCTCTTCTGACTAAGAATTTTTTTTGCATTACCAGTAACTCATTTACTCTTTCATTCTTCAGCAAGACCCTATTGGGAATCTATTACATGTCAAGCACTGCTCTGGTCGCTGCAGATTCAGCGTTGTAGAGACAAAGATTATATGTATTCTGTTAGAAAGCTAAATGAATAGCTCTAAGGGTAAGAGCTAAATGGATGGCTATAAATAAATATATACCAATAGTAATAGTAATAAGTTCTATTTTAAAAAAAATAAAGGAGAGAATCCAGGTGCATATTAATAGGCTGAGCATTTATTTAAAAGAGGTTAGTCACAAAAAATATACAAGCATGTGAGGTGATGGATACGTTAATTAGCTTAATTTCACCATCCCACAAGTACATTTGTTAAAACATCACCTTGTACACTATGAATATATGCAATTTTTGTTTGTCAATTATACCTTAACAGATCTGGCTAAAAATTAAAAAAAAAGAAAAAAGAAGAGTAGTCAAGGAAAGCCTCACCAAAGTGGTTATGAGTAAGTGGAGACCTGAAAGACTAAGGAAGTAAACCACACGAGTATTTGGGGAAAGCATATCCTTAAGAGGAGGCAGCAAGACTAAAACCTTGAGGTGTGAACAAACTTGGTATGTTCTAGGAGTAGCATAAAGGCAAGTATGTCTAGAGCATAGTGAGTAGGAAAAGGAAATGATAAAACTTAAGGCCTAAGATAAGGACCATGTAGGGATTTTTGAACATCAGTTGTCACTACTTCTCAATAATTCATTATGTGTTTGACTTGTTGCGACTTCTGGGTAGTTTTTTTAAAGTCGGCATAAAGAGCATAGGACATCTATTGCAAATAATTTTGTAGGGTAACTTGCATAATACCATTTTAATAAAATTCAGGCGAAAACATGGAGACAACAGTATTCACAGTTGCACATTCTGCTTTTTTTGTGGTGGTTGATGCAGGTAAAGTTCACTTATGTAAAATTAACTAGTTTAAAGTAAACAATTCAGTAGCTTTTAGTACATTCACAATATTGTACAACTACGACCTCTGTCTAGCTCATAACATTTTTATCACTCCAAAAGGAACCCATACTTATTAAGCAGTTGAACCCAATTTTTCCCTACACTAGTAAGTAGCAGTCTATCTATGGCTGTACATATTCTAGATATTTCTTGTAAATAGAAGCATACCATATGTGGCCATATATGTCTGGCTTCTTGCACTTAGCATAATGTTTTTGAAGTTCATTAACATGTATCAGTACATCATTTCTTTTTATAGTTGAATACTATTTCATTGTATGTACATTTCCCAATTTGTTTCTTCATTCATCTAGACACTTGGATTATTTCTGCCTTTTAGATGTTGTGAATAGTACAACTATGAACGTGTATGTAGAAGTATTTGTCTCAACACTGTTTTTTTATTCTTGTAGTACATTCCTAGAAGTAGAATTGCAAGGTCATATGGTAATTGTATGTTTAGCTATTTGAGTACTCACCAAAATGTTTTCCAAAGAAGGTGAACCGCATTATGGTCCCACCGTACTCTTATTCTTAAAGCCCCTCTATATGCAGATGCTCCTTGACATACAATAGGATTATGTTCTCATGTATTGAATGCATATCACTTTTATACCATAATAAAGCTGAAAAATCTTTACTTGAACCATCATAAGCCAGGGCTTGTCTGTTCTCTGCAACCATTTGCTTCCTCATACCTTATCTTGCCTAGATTGGAGCTGTTCATACTGAGTTATCACACTTTACCAAAACTGACAACCTGATTAGCTGGTTCTCCCAACCCAGTTTAAATGGACTTTAATTAGAAAAACTAACAAAATAAAATAAAAATATAAAGCTAAACTTTAGAAGCTAAAATTCTGTTGTATAATTTTTTTTTTTTTTTTTTTGAGACGGAGTCTTGCTCTGTCGCCAGGCTGGAGTGCAGTGGCACAATCACGGCTCACTGCAACCTCCGCTTCCCGGGTTCAAGCAATTCTTCCGCCTCAACCTCCCAAGTAGCTGGGACCACAGGCACGTGCCACTATGCCTGACTATTTTTTG